GGAGGAAGGTGTGTTGCAAACTAAAACTGGGTAGTTGTGACCAGCTTCACTTATTTTATTAAACATTATCTAATAATTTCTTTCTTCACTAATCCCAATAATTTCACATATTTCCACTAAACTTGCAGTGTGGTCATATCCAAAATATTTTTCAGCTTATGTCAGAGTCAATGCCTTATCCTTTACTGTAGAAGTCATCCATAATCAAAATTAAATTCTGTACATAATCAAATTTCTTAAAATAGATGGAGAAGTAATCAGTAAAAGATTTATGTGGCAAAGATGTTATTGGCTAATTCTGGATTGTTACTCCAATGTAATGGTTTTGTTGATCAATGTTTTTTAAATTGTGTATAACAAGCATGCCCAAAGTGTGTAATTAATGAAGACAATGAAAATTTACTTTATTGTGACATTTGCATGTTGATGGGAGACATAGTTTAAAGAATTGAAAAATTTGTCATATTTTTGTGCCCACTGTGACATATAGGGCATATAGTATTGTGCCCACTGTGACATATAGTGCATATAGTATTGTGCCCACTGTGACATATAGGGCATATAGTATTGTGCCCACTGTGACATATAGGGCATATAGTATTGTGCCCACTGTGACATATAGGGCATATAGTTTTGTGCCCATTGTGACATATAGGGCATATAGTATTGTGCCCACTGTGACATATAGGGCATATAGTATTGTGCCCACTGTGACATATAGGGCATATAGTATTGTGCCCACTGTAACATATAGGGCATATATTATTGTGCCCACTGTGACATATAGGGCATATAGTTTTGTGCCCACTGTGATGTATAGGGCATATAGTATTGTGCCCACAGTGACATATAGGGCATATATTGTGCCCACTGTGACATATAGGGCATATAGTTTTGTGCCCACTGTGACATAGGGCATATAGTTTTATGCCCAATGTGACATACAGGGCATATAGTATTGTGCCCACTGTGACATATAGGGCATATATTATTATCCTTTTCCATCTGTCACACTTAGATTGTTTTAGGCATTATCAAGGGGCATCCATGTTTAGAATATCACATGATGATTCAATAATCAGTAGTTAAAATGAGAAATTGCTTTTATCTTGGATTACTGAAAACTCTTTGCCAGGAGAGTCAATCTCTTGGAAGGAATCTTGCTTAGAGATTTGTAGTCCTTATCAACAATATTCAGATTTTTACGTAGTATGTTACTTGTATTTTATTAGTCCTTGAATGAACTTGATTTTAAGTATTCCATATCTAGTATTCCACATCATGTTGAGGAGTCGTGACATCAGAAATCAGATCTTCTCTAGACATAAATTTTCCAGGGCCCCGAGTGGCCAAGTGGTCTAAAGCACTGTCGTTTATGGATCACTGTCTGTGTTGGTTCAAGTAAGATTTGGCAAATGTGGATATGTGAGAAAGTTTGCCAGTTGCTTCTTGTGGGTCAGTGGTTCTTTCTGGTGATTCCCTGTTTCTTCTTCCACCATTAATACTGGCTGCCATGTATAGCCTAACATATGCTGAAAAATGGCGTTAAGCCCAACAATAGCAACATAAATTTTCCTGTTTATGATCACAAGAAGCATATTGTAGTTAGCATGATATGTGATGTGTGTGCAATGCCATCTAAATACTGCATTTCTAAATATGAATCACATATTTAATAAAGAAAGCAAGCTATGAAAAGGATGCTTTATTGATTATCTCTGGACAACAAACATACTTTCAGGTTTCTTAATTAGGATTGGAGTAGGTTTTGTGCATTATCATTCCACATTTCTAACACTTTTTTTACATAGAGGAAAATGTCTTAAGTCACCATGAACTGGTATGCTTATGCACTCCACATTGCTTAATTGTAATCCACATTAATTGTTAAGAATGAAATGCCATCTATACTCGTTTACAAGTTCAAATGCAAACTGCGCAGACCAAGAGCGGCCATCATAGAATGCATTGGCAGATCTAGGTCAGTGCAGTTTGTTAAGAGTGATCAATAGAACAAATAGCATAGACTTTGTTTTGCAGACACAGTATGCAGTTTAACTTAACTAGTAAGCAGGTATATTTTTAGATCTTAAGGTGCAGTTCATACAGTCCATGCTGAGATTGTTACTGGTTCTGTGACTCTTTCGTCAGGTCCGGTATGGAGTAGAAAATGCATTTATCTGAAAAAACTGACAGGACACAAAAAAATGAGTGAAATTGGGTTATTATACCTTATCTACTTAGTGTCTTGTTCAATCAACCAGTGATATGAATGATAAGTTTTGTAAAAAAAAAAAAACAAGAGGTAAATCTCAGAATATTTGATGTCAGAGGGTGAAATTGGACAATTTACCAGGTATTAGTTGAGAAGTGCCTTGATAATTTATTATCCATAATTCAATGTCACTATAAAATCCTAACCTGTTGCAGCCTATATTTTTTTTCAGAACGTGATAACTGGAACAATGAACCACTATCCAGTCAGCAGCCAGTTCATGATTGGAGACTATGTTATGCCTGGCAGTGGTCTAATCAGTCACACACAGACATGGAAAAGTGATTCTGCCTAACACCAGACTGATGTGAATCCTTTCCGTCACTTTCAACTTGCATCCAATGAATATGTATATCAATGAATAGAAAGATGAATGAACAATATATAAATACATTTTATCTTTATTATCATAGATGTAGAACTAACTACTGTAATCATATTCTTACTATTATTTGATCTGCTATGCTTTGAACATATAGTGTGTTAGTTTTATAACACACTGTGTTAACATTTATACATTGGAAAAAATTAGATATGCATCGCAATGAAGACAGAGTGAACACAACTTGCAGATTTTCCACAGATTGCAGATCTTTATCAGAGTTTTCATATTTGTGGTGGAATTGACAATTTGGAAACTTGTCTGGTTATTTTTGGAATTTCTTTTAACTTGATATATTTTTGCTTTGCATTCTATCAGTGAATAGAAAATTTAACCTGGTTTTGAAGAAACTACAGTTAATGTAAACAGATGTAGCAGTGAATAAATGATGTGGCCTGTAGAGTTAAAGGTGTGAAGATGGAAAGAAACTAAATGCACCATGATGTCACAAAACGGAATTCATGTTCAGAGAAGATATTTTTAAGTAATGTAATTTTTTTTTTCATTCAGTAACTTTTTCATTAGTTAAAACCAAATTATTTGAAGCCTTGAATTAAAAGATTTTAGTCCGATTCTGTCACAGTTTTTCCAAGTGATGGCTTCAGTTTGTTTTTTGCCCTTGTATGAATGAAACAAACTTTTGTTGGTTGCACCATGTTGGCGAAGGCATCGATGTCTTGAATACATTTCTAGTAGCCCTGTGGTCACTCTTTAAAGATCTACTGTGTAAAGTGGCTTTAAGAAAAACAATAGACATCGGAGTGATTTCATGGATATAGAACAGGTGCACAAGTATAATGTAGATTTATCATGTCCTGAGCAGTTATATTTTGTTCCAGGCAATAATTTATAATATTGGGTTTATGTACAGTGTTTATGTCTTGCTCAGTTTGTCACAGAATGTAACTATTACAAAAACATGATTAAAGCTGCAGTGTTTTCATGTGTAAATGGGGAAAGAAAAGGTAACTCAGTCGGTTGAGCAGTGGAATCGTAATCCACTTGTTGCAGGTTTAATGCCTTCCTGAGCCATCTCGTGTAAGCTGGCTCTATGTGTACATAGGAAAGACACTTAGCTCCTATTGCCAAGGCATGAGATATAGCCAATAATGTGTTAAAACAAGTTTTTCCTCCTGCCCCACCCCCTAGAAATATTTTTTTCTTTAGATTTGTTTATTGCCAATCAGTGTTCACAAAATTAGTAAGTATGTAAATAAACAAAAAAGACTCAGGGATTCAGGAACAACCCATTCCAATCAAATAATATGTATTTAGTGTTGATTATAAGGTGCAGGAATGTGAGATTTCTACTTTTTTCATAATTGTTACAAATTAAGCCACATGTTGAACCAATAGAATCACTTATAGTTCAGAGTAGGCAACTGTATTGAGTTTTTGCATGCATGTTGTGATTTATTATACAGTGGGTCCTTAGGTAGGACTCTGAAAGGGGCCAATAATCCAGCAATCAGATTGGGTAGGGCAGGCAAAGGTTGGTAATATCATAGAGTCGTGTTTGATCCTATTGTCTGCAGGCAGAAAACTGTCAAAGAATCGAAAAGCAATTTTGCATATTTTTGTAAGAGTTCACAAAGAAAAATTTCTAGAAAATTCAGAAATTATGACTCCTTCTGAGAAAGGCAGTTAATTTTTGCCAAATCAGACAACTGGATCTGAGATGGGGAAGCAGGTTGTAATTTTATGATTCTTTAGCAGCTGAGATTCCACAGTCATTGCAGAAAGTGAAATATGATCGCATGTTTCATTCAAGTGGACAGAAAAATAGCTATTCTTTTAGAAAAACAAAGTTTGATTTATGTACCAAGTATAACAAAAATAATGTGTTCACAGTAGGATGTAGAAATAACCAAACTAGTACTGTGGACAGACAAGTTTGCATAATAAGTAAGAGATTGACATCAATTAATATCATTTATAAGGGAATCAAGTATTGATGAATTTTATTTGACTTTACTCACCAAAGTCAAGAAATGATTTGGCCTACTTTTAAAGTTTCATTGATTGATTTGGACCCATTTTGAAAATTACTTAAAACAACATGGTATATTTCTATGTATGATTTAAGAGAACAGCTTGGTTGGATTTTTCTTTTACTTCATTCCAAGTGGATGATCGCATCAAATTTGGCATTGCTGGGAAAAGGACAGAGTTGAAAAGCATTGGTTGTAAAAAGACAATACAGACAAATATTTCTTTAAAATACATTCTTTACCAACAGAAATTTTAATGATTACCATTTTATTTGAATAGTTTTAAGTAAGCCAGTGCAGAGTTTCTTGGTCACTAAAGATCCTACAGTAGCATTCTGTGTACTTGTCATATGACCACTCCGGTGGCCTAGTGGTTTAGAGCGTCCGCCACAGATGGGGGAGGTTGTGGGTTCGATCCCTGGTCGAGTCATACCAAAGACTTTAAAAAATGGTACTTACAGCTACCTCATTTGGTGCTCAGCATTAAGACGTTAGTGTTAGGACTGGTTGGCCTGGTGTCAGGATAATGTGACTGAATGGGACATCATGCTACATGTCTGTGGCATGATGCCCCAGTGCTAGAAATCACTTCAATCTGCCACACTGCAGACATTGGTGACAGTATGCCATGTACACACTTACATTGCAGCCCTAACCGTAATTTATAGCATATTTTTGACTTGATTTGGGTCTGTAACAAAGGGTACAGCATTTCTGTGCTAGTTTTATTTCTTTAGTCATGCTCAAGATTGATATAAGTCTATCAATTCTTCTGTTTGGCATCAAAACCTTGGTTAAACTTTGGGTTCAGCTCCATTTTTCTTACATTATTGTTTGCTGTTATATTTTTAAGAAAAACATGATCATTGTGACCTCTAATTTACTCTACAATCATCTTCATTGACGTTTCAATTCAGTTTTGTGTTTAATTTACTCTACAATCATCTTCATTGACATTTCAATTCAGTTTTGTGTAGTTTCTTGATAAGTAGATGCATATAATGTCAAATTGATCCCATTTTGTCTTCATGTGCCTACATATTAAACAAGTGTTCTGCTGAAAAGTGTCAAGAAACTCTGCAAATTGCAAAAGATTGCAGACAACTGGAGCATGAACTATAGGTCACAGTAACATCATTTTAGGAATGATGGACAGTAGATAAGCATCTTTTGCAAACAGCTTTCTGTCCATTTAGGTAAATTTCTGTTGAGCGAGTTTTGCAGTGATGTAATTTAAAGTGTTAAGTAACAGCATCAATACTTTGGTGGTAGAAAATACGTTTCCCAATCATAATACATTAGAACTACTACTACCTTGCCAATCAATGGCCGAGTGAGCTAAAGCGATGACTGTTACAGATCATTGCCATCTCACCTCTGTCTGCTTGAGTTCGAGTCCAGGCTCAGCTAATGTGGGTAAGTGAGAAAGCCTGCCAGTAGCTTCTCATGGGTCAGTGGTTTTTTGGGGGGTTTTCCAGTGTTCTCCCTCCACCATTAAAACTGGCCACCATGGCCTATCTTGTGCTGAAAAATGGTGTTAAACCCTATAACAATAACAAAACCTTGCCAATCCAATCCTCCTAGCTAAAGTGAGCTAAACTTTGTCTACTGACCTATTTGGCAGTCAGGCAGTGATCTCCCATTTGGATATTAGACTTTGTGGTGATGCCCAAGACCATATCATTTACTACTGGAGCAGAAGGCAAGCTTTCCATGGATGTTACTGTGGGAAGGCCAGAATGGTGTATGTCCATGATGATTGGATACATATTCTTGAAGAAACATTTTCCTAGAAAAAAAGTGCGTTTTTTAAAAATATATTACACAATCATAATACCTTAGGAGACTAGATAAGAGGTGGAGGGTACAACCCCTTACTCCAGTGATACCATCCCCTAAGGTATATTAGGCAGCTTCTAGGTAAACCGACTGGAGGGGACTCAATCTGTCAGGGTGCAGCTTCAAATCAGGGAAAAATTTTGCCCCCACTGCAAATCCAGCAGTTGTGAAGCCATGTCTTAAGAAGCTGAAGGGATGACAGGTTGAGCTGCAGATACCGACCAGATCAAATTGGGCCTTTTGGGATGATGGCTTTTGGAGATGGAAGCAAAAGAATGTGGGCTTTAATTTCCATCCTAAAGCCAAAATGTCGGTTTTCAAACTTCTCTTGAGGGATTATGGTTGGATAAGCATTCTTGAAGAAACATTATACTAGGAAAAATGTGTATGGTCCAAATCTGCATGGTGAATTTTTATACAAAGTAGAAAGTAGCAAAGGTGAACAGATGCATGCCTAGTGCCAGACAATGGACCATGTGTGATCCTTTTTGACCTTTTATCTGGTCAGCTAGAATTTTTCTTCCTAAAACTTTTTAAAAGATATTGTTACGATTATCTACCTGCATCAGTTCATCTGTTAATCATTTTATTTCTACACAACTTGATTCATTTCTCCATTGTAAGTGACTTAAATTTGGAGCCAGTAAGAAACCTATCAATTTTGAACTCCAACAGTCAAGACCATCAGACTGAGAGAAAATAAAATCTTTCAACACAGTACCTTGACTTGTATATCTTCACCAAACTCTGTAAATTACTTGCATTTGAGATTTTTAAAAGAGACAATTGAATTTAGAATCATAAGCCATGGTCACAGTCACTCTAAAAAGCTAAATGGTTTCCATGCAATATTTTAAGTGTTTATATCACCTACTTTAGTCCAACTTTGTGACTAGCTTGAATTTGAGGAAATCATTTTGAAATGATTGGTCAAGTAACAGGAAATGAGAGTTCTATTAGCATTGAACTGCTTTAAAAAGGTTTATAAAGTACCAATTAAAGTACCAAAAATGAAGAATTGTCCAAAACATTTAGAAGATGAAACTTTCTAATAAATGTAAACAGATGTACAACAAGATAAGATCTAAATGTTTGTAAATAGTCCACCCTGGAGGCCAAATCATTAAATGCTTACTGTTGCAGGCTGTAAGAACAGTTCCTTATCACTAATTACGCATCTTGATTAAAATGAATATTTTGAAAGGGACTGCCTACATGGCTGCACAATGTCAAGGACTGAACTGCAGGTTGGAAATGCCTGTTCCAAAGCAGAGAAAGGTGCCATGCATACAATTTATTTCTTAGCTTAAATGAATGACTGTTGCAACTTAATCATCACAAAGAAAGAAGACCAAGTTTCAAGATGTTCCTGGTAATGTAAGGAAAATACAGGAAAAATGTTAGATGCTGACGAGTTTTGATGAAAGCAGTCAACAGGAAAGTGATAAATAGGACAGATATTTATACATTTAATTGGTTTCAGAATCATGAAATTATTTTTGAAGAACCTGCCACAAGCACCATTCTCAAGTAACAAAAGAGACAATATTTTTTGTAAATGTATCTGTTGAAAAAGTTGTTGCAGGTATGACAGCAAAAGGTTGCACATCTTGGCATAACAAGGATATTTCATTCTGATAATTCTGAAAATATTCATGCATCCAATCTCGTTACCTGCTTGATTAAAAAATTACCTGTGCATTTGCTTTATAGGATAATGTTCCCAGTCCTTTCTATCAGATCTGGAATTGGTTTTATGAACCAGGTCTGAGAAGTTATGTTTGGACACTAATTATATTAAAAGTAGATCTGTATGGACACCAGTGTTTGAAAAGAAAGAGATATTAAATGTACAAACTTTAGGTGGTGAAGATGTAGGCAGCATATACCTAACAACAGATGTATGTCATAGCTGGAGAATACCTGCATTCATCTTGTTAGCTCTATATACTGATTGAGAAAAGTATTTGACTTGATTTATTGATCAATGGTAAAATCACAAAATGCCTGGAGTTATCTATTTTGTTATTATTTACTTTCACTTTGAACAAGTTGCAATGAATGTTAATTTGACCAACATACAAACTGCTTCATTTAATCTGAACCTGTCAAAATGAATCTCAAGTGTATGTAATAAATTCAACAAAAAAAAACCAATCTTTATTTCATCAACCTGATAATTTCATGTCATTTCTACATGTACATTTTTTTTCTCACAAGCAAAACATCTTTACTGACCAACTCTTTATCAAGGGCCCACCTTTCTGTTTTACAGTAGACACTGATACAGCCTTTTAGTGGTCACTGACAACAGAGAAGGTGAACAGACCATTTTGCTGGAGACCTTATTTATGAAAAATAAACCTAACTATGAAAATGAAATCTCAAGGTCAATAACCTTAAACCAAAATCTCTGACCTTGAGATTTTTCTAATTGGGTTAGCTTATCTCATTACTTTATCTCTGACTTTTTGTTTTGTTTTTAGGCATGTATATTTTACATGCTGGTCACTCAACATTGGGCTTTCACCTTCTCTGCTGCTATAAATTAAACAGCCAATATAAATATTATTAATAATTGAATATTAGAGAACCACATTCAGCTATATTAGCTTGAGAGCAATTAGGGGTAATTAAAAATATTTACTTGTTTGTAATTCTGTTGAGCAACAATTACAATCACATCAGGAATCTTGAGTCAAATTTGAAAAGGATACAAAACAATTTAAACCGATTGTTGAACCAACAAAGAAAATTGTTACAGCAACTGAGGCAACACAACAAGCTCTTGCAACATTGCCTGCTGATATTGCTGGTCATATTCAAGAGGCTCAGCCAAAAACCAGAACTAAGATAATAGATAAATGTACGCCTGAAGGTATTGCTGCTATCCAAGACAAAGACCAGTTACTTAATATTGCCGCATATGGATATTATGAAAGACAAAAATATGTACAACCAGAACATGTTAAATTTAGAAAATGTGCTGATTGGATAAAGAATGTATATCACATCGCTACTGATATTCTGAAGATATTAGAAATTTTAATAAATTTGATATTGTACACAAACATAGAAGAAAAAGCTAAACAAGGTAAAGCATTCTCAGCAATCAAAGATAGACTAGCACGACGACAAAAACCTCAGCTACCAGTAAAGTTACCCAGCACTGAAGTAATGCCTGCAAGTATTACTAAAAAAAAATAATAAATCAAGCTGCTAATCAAAAACTAGCAGAGTTGTATGATGTATCATTATTAAAAAAAGAAGAAAAAAATATAACTGCTTGTCTGATAGCAGGAAGTGGTCTGTCTCACTTCTGATCCCACATTCAATATGGATGCACCAGTACTCCAGGATGAGTCTGTGTGTGATTATCAATATTCTTTTGATGCCAAATTCCTGATCAGTGTTAAATTCAGGATACAAGCAGATATTTTCTGCCTGCTGGGGCATTTATTGAAGTAGAGGGCAAAATTTTAAGAGCAGATATTACTGAATATGCCATTGATATTAGTGTTGGTTTTGTTAATAATTATGGCGTTATTTGACAGCACTATTGAACAATATTGAATCGATTTAGAAATTGAC